ATTTTTAATGGTTTTTTTTTACAAGAAATCTTTATTTAAAGTAGCTTCTGAAGCTTCTCCTCGCTCATTACATGTTCTACATTACCTTGAATAAATTTTATTGTAAGCACACCAAAATTGAATTTTTTATTAGGAAATATTTTTCCGCCAGAAAACGAAAAAAACAAGTAATACGTTTCTTTTTTTAAGAAATAAACATCCTACCCTGCGATTTATTTTTAAAAATAAGAATCATATTTATTGTTTTAAGAAATAAATTTCTTAAACAATGCTTAATAGATTTACGATTTTACTGGGAGTTCTAATAAGCTATTAGCAACTATGATTAAGATTTTAAAAGTTTTGGAATTCATTGTACCCAAAAAGTCTGTTGGAGTCTCATCCGTAGGAATTTTTTAAACTATGACTTAGAATATCAAAAATTAACCAGTAGTTTGGTGAAACATACAGTTCAAGACCTAGTGGCTGGTCTTTATATACAAAAACTGCTTTCAGAAGGATTTCAGCTTTGATTCTATCCGTTTTTACATCTTTTAGGGCCTACCTTTGTTTTTGAATACAGAGCTTTTTATATTTTTTATATTTTTATAATTTGATCTCGGTCAAAAGATGCTAACGCCAGTATCAAACATCTCGAAGGTTTTACCATGATTTGAATTTCACCTTTGCAGCATGCTCAGTATACATCTCTAAATACTTATTACATTTATTTTTGAAAAGATAAAATCAATGTGCTATTTCTATTGATTTCATTTTTATTATATTTCTAATAATTCTAAAAAAAAAATGTCATTCAAAAAATATTGGTTTTAGAGTTATTTTCTTTGTATTTTACATCTGATTTTTAACCATTATGCAAACCATAGCTTTTAAACAATTTGCTTCTTAATGACATAAATGGTTCTTGAATTATAAGACTAAAATATCAAAACTTATGAAATTAAGTATTACTTTAAAAAATGCAGAACCAGAAAAGTCGCAGGTCAAAAACCGCGATTTCCTGGAGAGAGAAATGTATTCAGCCATTCTATTGATCTCTTTGAGTATTTTATTACTCAGAATAAAAACCTGCCTGATTTTAAAGAAAAGCAACTTGAATTTCATGAAATTTAAGCCCTGTGAAACAGCTCCGTATTTGTTAATTTTCACCTAATGGTCTGATTTCTTTCAGCAAACTCACAATAATCTCTGCACTTTTCAAAAGTCTATATGTAAAGGATTTTAAAATTAAAAACTTATTCATTTTGTTTTTGCTAAAAAATATTTTAATGTGAAGCGGTTTTATCTTTACCTTACTGTTTTTTACCCTTTTATGGTTTTATGATATAAATAGTTTATTCCCCAACTTAACTGTTTTATTTGTTTTTATTCTGCGGCTATATGAAGTTCTCCAACATAATGGCAGGAAGTTAACAAGAAAAATGGGCGGTAAAGAAACTTAGCTAAGCTTGTTGAAACCCCTTTTAAATAGCCAGGTCTTGAAGTAGGTGAACTGTATGGTATAAAAAGCATCTAACAAATTTCTAATTGCTGAGTATTGGGCCTCAACGCTAACGTGTTTAAAAACCACGGTTTTTTAATTTCATAACGAATTTGTGCGTTTTTAAAATACCACCAGTTAACAAAAATAATAGTAATAAAAATGCGCTCAATCGGTATAGATAAAAAACCTTCCATTACTTGTAATGACTTTATTATATAGTAAATGATTTGTAAATTTCTATTTGCGCCGATTGTTTGAAAATGTCCGTAAAAACTCAAAAAATGTAAAATTGTTAAACTTTAATAGAGTGGTGCGAGTATAAATAGTCATCTAAAATAAAAATAACAATTTTTTGTTAAGAAACAATACCTTGGAAATATTTTACGACACTGCGTATTAAAGTTTGTTCATGAGGGTCAAAATGGGATGGGCTAATGTACAGTAGTGGATAGCAACTTTTTGGAGCCCAAAGCTATTATGAATAAAGCCTAAAGTTTTTATTTTATTTTGAGAGTTTCTTTTAAAAATATATTTTTCTATGAACTGGGGTATCCAAATCTGTAGGGCCTAGGGCTATAGCACTAAATTCATTAGAAAAAATGCAAAGGTTTTTTAAAATTAAAAAGTTTTTAAAAACATTTACCTACTGAGCACAATCCACATTTTAAGATCAATAACAAATTTAAATAATGTCATCTTCAAAATGTTATTAAAAGAAAATTTTTAATAACATACTACTAATTATACTAATAAATTTTTTATATTGAAATAAAACGTCTTAAAGATACAATTCTAGATTCTCTCGCAAGGTAAAAATCCGTCAAAAAAACATCAACTAACAAATACTTTTAACGATGGCTAATTATACAAATATATATAGTTATTATCAAACTCCGCTGTGCTTTCAGCCATCCTATTCGATAAATGCACTTATTAAACAAAATTTTAAATAATATAATAAACAACTAAAAAAAAATCTTCGCTCAGCTGCAGGATTTAAACTCGATTTAAATCATGCAGCTGAGCATTTAACCAACTTGTGAATTACAACAAATGTTATAAAATATAAATATGGCACTTTAAGAACTTTGCAATTCTAAATACAAAATCCTTATTTAATTTTTCAGCTTGTTTATCAATTTGTTCAAATAATTTCCAGACTATTAAGATCGAGATCAGATTATGACTCAGATCAGGAAGAATGACTACTTAATGCATGATTTAAGTTTCATTAGTTAGAGTCAATTAATTCCACACCACGAGTACCAAGATTAGATTATGCAAAACTTATTTCGCCTAATGCATGAAAAAGCCATAGTTGGTAACACTCCCACGCATGTCACAAATAAGTTGGGCGTCTTTAAACGGAACGGAACCAAGCGCCATTTTTAAACTAAATTGAGTTATTGGCGCTATCATGTCGAGAGTTGTCAAATTTATACAGTAATAAAAACCTGCTTTAACTATAGCTTTCTTGATCTCTTTTTGCTTTAACTTTAAGAAGGAAGAGATTAAGAAAAAAAGTGAAATGCTGTATTCAGTATACTGTAATAAACAGAAAGAAACTATTTTCTCGAAACCATACAGATTGCGCTTGGTCCCTTTCCGTTTAAAAGCGTCCAGTTAAGCAACGTAGTTCAGCGACCCCGTTAATCTTTAACAATAAAAAATGTCCGATGGAATTTTGAAATGGAAAGTAAACTACATCTTAATTGATTAAGTTGCGGTTGTCACGTGATTGTAATGTTATCACCCCATTCGAAATGGAAGAATCCGTAAAATGTTATAAAAACATTAAAACTAAACAAACCTTTAAAAAAAATCGTTTAAATTATTTTTCTTTTAATTAACAATTTAATTAACAATGTAAACATTTTTTACGCTGTTTTTTATTTCTAAGTACTTAATTGAGCTT